TATATATATATGTATATATATATATAAGAAAAATCAAAGTGAGTTCTAAATGGGATACTGATGTGTTGATTTTAAAGAAGGAAAAAATAATATTCCAAGTAGAAGCAAAGAATTCAGGAATTTAATTTATTGAAGATTGGCTATATAATTCAAGTGTCTATTGATTGACTTGGAATGTTGAACAAAGACAGGTCTTCAAATATTTTAGTCCTTTCTTATTAGGCAGAATATGACTAAGTTTTTCTTGGACTCTTTCATTAAATCATTCTGTCGAGAATAATATAGAAATATTAAAATAGAGATTGTGTGATTTACTTCATGATTATTTATGAAGCTCTTTGTTTGGTTCATTTATTATGTATTAGAGAGTGGACAAAACGGTGATTCTTATAACATTGGAGTTGAACGATTGCATCAAGATTTGTGTCATAAAACTCCTAATTGTTTTTGCATCGAGATTTGTGCAAGGTTATGAAAATTTGATGAAGTGCGTTGAGAAGTGTGCTTAATGAAAATTGTGATTTGTTTTCCAAATGAATTACATCTTATAGCTTTATTTAGAAATGATTGGGGCAAGAATCCTATAGATTAGTGGTAATCTTGATGAATAACTCAATTATCAAACCTAATTATGATGCAACTCTCTATTAAATCAAATGTCTATTTAGTCTAGCACAACTTTTAAATGCAATGACATAGCCTAGCATCATATGGAGCACATGGTTGACTCGACTTAGAGTTTTGAAGATGCTTGTCACAATGCCCAACTTCTTATAATACTGTGTATCCTTCCACTATAATACAATATAATTTTAAGAGATCATGTGACCTAACCTCACATTTTTAATATAGCAAATTACCAACTTTTAACAAACAATTTGTATAAGAATAAGACAATTGAATATTCTCCATCTTAAATTTTGTTGGATTAATATTTTTAAATTTATTCTTATTTTCACGCTATTTACAAGACGACCAATGCTCTTCTGAGAGTGAACCCTCAAAAAAATATTTCAAATTTTATTGGTTATGCATTTGAATGTACATGGACCAACCAAAATTTACTCACATACTCAACAAAAAGATTCCCAAAGCCTAATTCTATGTTATGAATGTTCCCACTAAATTTGTTGTATCTATTTTTTATAAGTAAATTAGATCACCATCATTAGTACTATCAAAGCTAATCTTAAGCTAAATTGCAATCTTCCATAAACCCAAAACTGATTGATCAATTATAACTTTGGAACATGAAAGCATGACTTCTCTTCTTTATGTGATCTATCCAACTACTTAAATTCACTTGGATTAATATTCTATTGAGTCAACTTAAAATTTAGAAAATAATTAACTCTAAGCTCTGCAATATATGTATGTGGGAATGAAAAAAAAAAACCTCTTTTATTAAAATCAAAGAAACAAAAATCAAGAGAGTTCAATCACTGAATCATGAAATAATAATAAATTTGACATGCAATTGCGATAAATTCTCTTATTTTTATCATAACGTGGCTTTCAGGAAATAAGAATCGGGGAACTAAAATATGTATATAAAAAAATATGTCAAGATTAATCTTGAGGGGATCTAAGAGTCAAGGGAAGAGAATGACAAATGAGGGCCACTTATAGAAGATCTTGAGACTCGTTTGTCTGATTGAATGAAGCTGTTTGAGTCAGGCCAACAAGGCCAAGCCGATCGAGCCATGCGACTGACAAACAGAAAACGGGATAACACAAGCCTGAGCCATTCAGCCAGAAATGAGACGAAAGAATATATGGACAATCACTACTGGAAAGACGACCCAATGTAATATCCAACCCTCCCACAGAACTGATCCAAAGATCTGGTTTCACAATATCTCCATCCACCTTAGAAACACCTTCAAATTTCCTCATCAGAGACTAAAGATAGACAATTAAGTGCTATCAAGCGGCCAACCCATACCAACTAAGCTTTGTAGACTGAGCTGACGTTGTCAATCTATGCCAACCAAGCGTAGTCAAACAATTTGAACCTACGACTAGAAGCCAATTAAACTTAATCAGATAAGCCAGAAAGAAGTCAAATAACAGATTCAATAATATAAAAAATACCAAAAATACCCCAATACTGACCTCTTTAAAGTGGGGAAAAAAATGTGACTTCATTATGTTGTATCATGTCCTCTATAAATAGGATAATCATTTAAATAATCATTTAATGAATAATTCATGTTGTATCCGATCGAGTTAAGCCTCACGCCTACCAATAACCTCAATTCAGCACAGTCCAGTGAACCAGTCTTGTCGAACAAGGACTGATTGATTTCAGCCGACTGAAATGTATGTCAGCTAAACCAAAGGCCAATGCAAGTAAAATACCTAAAACATCTTGCAGCGCCCCGATTAATGTAGGGGAAAATATATAATTTATATATTGGACCCTCATCTATAAATAGAGAGATCATTTTATAAGAAATGACTAATAAACAATTCACTCTACTGTTCATTATTATTATGCATTGCTTAATGTGTCTTCTTTCTCGCTCCCTCCGATCTTACACTCTATTTTTCGATGTGATTCGTCACGAATCCAACACTAATACTGATTTAAATAATAGATAAATCTATGATACTCTCACCTGAAAGTGGTTTTTTTTTTTTTTTTTTTTTTTTTTCCCCTGAAAATTTGGGGGGGGTTGCCTTCCTTTTTTTTTATTTATTTTTTGGGATTTTTTACTTTAAAAAAAGGGATTTTATTTTTTTTGGTGTAAAGATATCCTTTTGGTGACCCAACCATGCTGGTAAGTGCATTTATATATTTAACATTACGTCCTAATTATTTAAAAAGAAACAGAGTACATTCATTCCCTCTCATTTTATTTTAATTTGACTGATGTTTGAAGCTCCCACCAATAGTCCCAACGATAGGCAGCTGTGGATGTGATTGACTGAGCCAAGTTAACTTGTGAGCCGGTTCTGATTTGGCTCGATAAGTGACCCGTGAGCTGAGTTTGATGAGGTAATAAGTTAACCTCAATAAAGCTTTAGCTCCGGCTCATTAGCTCGTGAATTAGATCATTTAAATAATAATTGATATAAAATATATTTAAAGTATATTAAAATTGAAGAGTTTTTTTTAATGTAAGAAAGTATATATTTTTTGTATTTTTTTTATTATGTGATTTATTATTATTTACCTCATAATTGTTCGTTATATTCATCATTTTTATTAGAACACTTATTTGAATTGGTATTATTTTATCTTTTTCATAATAGAGAGATTGGAGCTTGATGTCACATATTAACTTATCTCTAGTCATCCGATCGGGTTTAGCGTTTTACTTTGACACTAAATTAATCAATTTCTCACAACACTTGGACTTGAAATCATAAAACACTCAAAATGTTGTGAAAAAACAACAAGAATAAAGCAAAAAATTGGATCGAGAAAAATTCTTAAAATAAAAAAATACAGCGGAAACACACAGATCTACGTGGTTCGGCAAATTGCCTACGTCCACAGAGCTGCAGAGGATTTTATTAGCTTGAGGATTACACCCAAGAAAAATACTCTATTTCTCTCTCTCTCTTCTATCTCTCTCTTCCTCTCTCTCACTACCCCTGAGCAACAACACCCAAGAAGAAGACCGGGAAAGCTACCAATGCTGAAGAGAAGATTACAAGGGGAGTTGTAGCATGCCTATTTATTAATTCCATCATGTCATTAGACCCGTTAAGGAATTAATCAAATAATTAATGAAACACTTTAATTATTTCATTTTCTCTTCTGCAGCAAATCATGGATGAAGAGATTCATGCAATGAAAGTTGTATAAGATTTTAGGGAAGGAATTAAGAGCAATTAATTTACCAATTAATTTTGAGTATCAAATTCAGTTTGTTGTCAAACATGAGAAACTGTCAATTTGAACAGTGGACCGGTTTCCATATTCGCAACAAATCTTCCACTTGGAGACAAGTACACTAGCTGCATCATCCACTGACTACATTTTTCTTTTCTTCAAACGTGATATCCTCCATCTCTACAGCTCAAAGCTCATTGTCTTGACGCTATAAGATAAACCGATGTCGAGCACAACTTCAGTTTCTCAAGTGTAACACTCTTTGTCGACATATCATCGTCAACATAGCTTTGTACCTCCCAGCTTTTTCCTGTGTTATTCATGTTTATGCTCACAACTTCCACTACATGGGCAATATCATGCCTATATTGAAAGCCCACTTCAACAAGTCTAGTCATATACCTATTACTGCCATCAAGCACAGTCTTTACCCGGTACACACACTCGTTGTGTAATGTTTTTTTCCCTAGTAGAAGTTTTGTCAGCTTCCAAATCTGATTCCCTGTCAGGGA